TGCACTCACCGCCGCAACAGCGATGTTTTCATCATCGGTCCCTTCATAGCCACTGCTGGCAGCTCGGATGGCGCAGCGGATAGGAAGATGGACTCTGGATCGGACGACAATACGGCACTTGGTAGATCGAATCCTTCTCGTTGTGCCAGTTTTGCATTTTCCAGTTTCGCATACCTGTGTGTCGGGCAGTGGAAATAAGCCATGTGCACGCCAGTTTAAGGCATATTCTTCATTCGACACGCTGCAAACCAGCTCGGTTGTGTGTGAAAGCCTGTTTCCGGGAACGAGAATCTATATCTACCATTTCCCTTCATTGATGGACAAATCTAACAACAGTGGTAAAGTTCAACAAAACATGTAAAGCATATGCATCTACTGCACCAACTACACCTAACAAACGCCAGAGAAGAACAATTACTGTCTTCTTGACAAGGGACGACAACATCTCCTTCGTTGAATCCGAAGTCGGTCGGAGTTGAAAACGGTCCAGGATGCTCTTCGACATACCCAGCGGCCACCCATGCGTACGCAATACATGAGCGAAATCGGGGTGCGCAAAATTGCCGGTACGTCTGGCTGATGACCTACACGGAAAGATTGTTGGCAACTTGTTAACATAGCCCAAGAAAGGATCTCACCTTCAAAATATTGTCCCTGCTATACGCGAAATCCGTCTGATGGTGTATCACGTGGATCGTGAATTCGTCGGATGTATCGCTTGAACAAGCGGAAAAAGTAGACGTCGAGAGGCTGACAGAGGGAAGTCGCCCCTGCAGGAATGGTCATCAAACGGAGCTCTTTGCCTGGAGGTACTTCCGAAAGTACGTTAGCGTGGTCGGTGAACCCAGCCCAACTATCCACAAGGAGAACAGTCAGTGGAGGTGAATTTGACCCTACCACACACTCCTTGACGAAAGTGGGGACCTGGGCCTTTGTCATAATGTGCGTCTTCCCAGCCATCACCAGCAGGTTGGGTGCCTGCCAATGTCCGCGCTGTGGAAAGACACCTCCCCTTTCGGGAAGAATGACAAGAAGCTTGTCCCCAAGCCGCCCATCGGCATACATGACAGGCATCGCGGTGAATGAGTGTGTTAGAGATGACACAGACTGAACCGCTCTCACCACCTGTTTAGATCCGACCGGAGCTAATGTTCTGAAAGTTGCCACTTGCGGTAAAGATGTTGACTTGAAAAGTGTTTTTTGTAAACCATACCTCTTTGAGGCTATCTCCTTGTTTATACCAGTCTGATCTGCGTTTGCAAATGCAGACAAGGGGTACTTCCTCATTTCCTCCCTGACTCTCTTGACGAAAACATCGGCGTCCGCTTCTACATCATCTTTAGAACGTAAGGTACCTGTGGTGACAAATCGCGTCACCTTTCTCGAACGTAAGCCACACTCGCGCACGAATTTGGCTACCCATGACTTTGACGCTTTGAAGTCATCAACAAGATGATGCTCCGAGTTTAACCGAACTGCTGTATGCCGAATGATAGCATAGGACAAAGGGAGCCCTAAAATGGCTATGCCAGCTGGTACGGAGCATGATTTCATGAAGTCTCAGGAAAACTCAAACATTTCAAGCCATACCTTGTTCAGTAGCTTCCAGCACGCTCTCACGAACAAGGGCAGACAGCCGTTTGAAGCTGTTTATTCTCGATTCTTCAAGTGACGCTGAATACGACAAATGGGAGTTTGTAACGGTATGCCATCCAAAGAAGTTTCAAGAATACCCTTCTTTTCGATTTCTCGAAGTATATTCATATGATGTTCCCGTTTTATCCATCGAAAGCGGTTCATCATGGCTGACAAAGGTCGGCTCCCTTTGTCCGTCTCACGGTAGAATTCAATGGCACGCTTGATCTGCGATATACGGAGGGTAATACTATAAGCCTATGGCACAGCTAACAACTAACCATATCCTCTGGAATAGGTTTTCCGTCGAAGAGGACGCTTTTTTGATCAGGGAGGACATCACTGCAACGGCTGCTATCGTCATCGTCATGAGGGGTCCAGTCGACCGCTGATTCTTCGTCGAAATGCACCTATGAACTGCCGTAATGGAAACGCTCAAAAATTCGTGATGCCTGCTATGTGACGTATATGTCCATATATTCGTTTGAACCTAACCTGGAGAGATTCCTCTTCCTCCTCACACTCGATGTTGCCATTATGCTGCGCTCTGTAGGATGCCTTTGAAGGCGTCGGCGATCGCGATTTCCCTCCGCGTCGGAGAGGAAAAATCCGGAGTAAAGGAGGACAGAAGACGTCCGATCACTCTAGCAGGCGAGAAAGCCATATTCGGATGGAGCAATATCAGGATGGAGTATGTTTCCATCATCGCTCATATTGATGTGATCAACACTTCCAGTAGATCAAATAGATCTCCATAACCTTGGGTGGACGACACTGGATTCAACGAAGGAGATGTTGGCACCCCTTGTCAAGAAGGCATCAATTGTTCTTCTCTGGCTTTTGTTAGGTGTAGTTGGTGCAGTAGATGCATATGCTTTAGATGTTTTGTTGAACTTTACCACTGTTGTTAGATTTGTCCATCAATGAAGGGAAATGGTAGATATAGATTCTCGTTCCCGGAAACAGGCTTTCACACACAACCGAGCTGGTTTGCAGCGTGTCGAATGAAGAATATGCCTTAAACTGGCGTGCACATGGCTTATTTCCACTGCCCGACACACAGGTATGCGAAACTGGAAAATGCAAAACTGGCACAACGAGAAGGATTCGATCTACCAAGTGCCGTATTGTCGTCCGATCCAGAGTCCATCTTCCTATCCGCTGCGCCATCCGAGCTGCCAGCAGTGGCTATGAAGGGACCGATGATGAAAACATCGCTGTTGCGGCGGTGAGTGCACAGTGTGCCACCACATGACTACAACATTTTGCCTTTAATGAAAGCTATTTTCGAAGCCTAATAAAGGAGCACCCATAAACTATGCATATTCGAAGTTACAATAAGAATGGAGCTCATTAAGGTGCTCAAAACCGCCTAATCTTGTCAATTCTTTTCACTCAGTTTTTGACCTACCCAGAAACGCATAGCAAAAATGAAACCCATTTTTGTGATCCTTGTATGGACCCCTACAACAAGCAACAAACCATTTCCAAAAAGCGCGCCACGACCTGAAAGACCTCCCTTGTGAGACGCAAGGAGAATGAGTTTTTAATCAGCAATGAATGTACAAAAAATAGTAACACAAAACGCTGAGAACTTTCCGGGCAACCTAATAAATACATTGAATAAACATCTTTGTACAGTCGTATTTTTACTCATTTAGGAATGCTGCGATCCGAATTACCGCTTCGAAGCAGGCGAGCGATTGCTTCATGATGGAGATAACTTTTCATTTCATGATACAAAGTAAAATCCTACTATATATAAACGGCAACGTCTGTTTGTCTGTTTGTCTGTGTCTGTCTGTCTGTCCGGAAATTCGGAATCACCTGAAGAACCAGTTGGAGGGGGCGGGTCAAGGGTGGGTTGGGTAGGGCATGGGTCAAGATGTACGGAACACACATGAACTGAGCTAAGCCCCGCCCACTGTGGGCGGGGCATGCGCACAGTTGTGAGCTACATAGTTCAAAAATTCGTAGTTCGGTTCTAGAAGATCCCGGAGAGCGGAAATTGTGGGAAACGATAAGCAGTCAGTTGGCGGATGAAATGAGGGAGTCACACCCGTGATGGGCGAGGCGTGCTATAGGTGGGCGGTGCTCGCTACAAAACTTTCAAAAATTCGTAATTCGGTTCCAGAAGATCCCGGAGAGCGGAAATTGTGGGAAACGATAAGCAGTCAGTTGGCGGATGAAATGAGGGAGTCACACCCGTGATGGGCGAGGCGTGCTATAGGTGGGCGGTGCTCGCTACAGAACTTTCAAAAATTCGTAATTCGGTTCCAGAAGATCCCGGAGCGGAAATTGTGGGAAACGATAGGCAAACAGTTGGCGGACGGAATGAATGAAGCACACCCACGATGGGCAGGGCGTTCGCCGAAGTGAACGGTGCCGGGGACAAAAACCCTCAAAACATATCCGAAAAACTCCAGGAAATGGGGAGTAAGTGAAACTGAGCAATGGTTGGGCAGATGAAGTTAGTTAGGAATAACCGTAGGGAGTATACCAAATATACCAAATGGTTGGGGGGGGGGGGGGGTATATACAAGCAGTGAAACGGTAAAGTGCGGTAATTCTCAAAACAAATTTTTTTCGACCATTCGGCCGACTGGCCCTCCCTCTCATGGAAAACTTCTCACCGGGACCCACTTCACACCCGGAAGGAGGATCGGCCGGCGAAGCCGGCCGATCCGACTGGTGGTATATAACAGAAAGGGGACAAAAAATCTAATAAAATAATAGTGCAACCAATAGAGAAATTTGGCCTCGATATGTAATTTGCCCCCAACTGCAGGCAAACCAAACCAAGAAAGCACCAGTTTAGGATGATTTGGGGGTACATGTAGTACGTGCTTAAGGAATCTGGATGGCGCCTGGCTTATAAATTATGAGACATCAAGCTTCCCAAACGATTTAGCAGTGGAGTGAGACCAACTGTAAACTGGCTCGGTGACGGCGCGTGCCAGGCTGGATGGCATGAATCTAGCGTGATGCCAGACCCTCTCCACCACTTGTTGAGGCGCTTAAGCGACAATATTTGGTGGAAGATACAGTATTGTCGCTTGCGTGCTTCAGAATCTGGTGAAAAAAGGTTATGACGCGGGCCAATCCCATTCCCGAGACACGCCCCTCCATCCGCAGCGAACCAGACGTTCATTAAAACCGATTTTTATGATGAATAAACAAAAATCATGATTAGCACGCTCTACTGCTCACAAAGAAACCACTCCCTGTACATATCCTCACATCTCCCGAACTGCAGAATTGACAGGTATCTGAACTTGGTTGCCTGCCACTCAATCACGAAAATAGACACTGTTTGGGGAAAGGAACGCACGCAGCTGCACTATCGCGGGCTCGGGCAAATAGTTTTACCCTCTCTTTCTCCCATTACCTTGGTCAGTGTTGTCGTCAGGGACCGTCGGCTTCACGTGAGCAGTTTCCTTGATAGAGTGCGAAACGTTCTCCTCTCGTGGGGAGATTTCTGAAAACCGAAAATTTGTCAGACAAAGAAATTATGCTACGACGATGCTCGACATTAGATCCAAAGCTACAAATAATCATTGGCGAAAGGGAGTATATTGCAGCTGAAAGTGCAAAGAGGATTCAGCTATCTCTTAGGATCGACAAAACTTGTCTTCAGACTCCACCCGTGCCAGCCCTGGATGACCAGCCGCACTCCTAACCATAGCTACTTGTCTGCGTTCGCACCTTATGGGGCTAGAATATTATGGGACTGTGTGCTATACCACGAGTGCGAGGCGAAAAAGGGAGTGGTCGTACGAGTTCTCACTTGTTGGTGTCGGCTCTTTCGTCTCATCACCTCACTCTCTCCATTCGGACGGAGAGATTTAGTGCGCAACAATCGCACCATCAAGTAAAAATGAAAGTTGGGCGTGGCCGTAGCCAGTGGGTGGGGCCGTGGCCCCGTCAGGAGCGGGTCGCGCTTTCGTGCACATATTTTTGAAATGTGGAAGCAGTACATCCTCCATGCTAATAGGCGGTACTACCATGTTCAGAGAAGGCAGCTGAACATCAAATGCGGGGTATGTCTTCAAGCAATATCTAGCCGTGTTAAGGTTTTAAGAAAAACTTTAGGGCAAGGGGAAGTACAGTAGAGGGTATGCGACCGTTTATGACAGCTACTAAAGCTAGCACCTCACCTTGATTCTCATCCAGGTTGCGGATGATCTGATGCTCTTTATCAAGTTCTCGATTCACCTTTGCCACACTTGTCTTGTTCTGTTCATGTTCGTCGTCATAGTCGATATGAATGAGTTTTGCATGGACCAAGTCGTCTGAAGACACCTCCCTGACGTGATGCACTAAACGAATAGAACTTCAGAAAAAAAAGAATTGTGGATAAACGAATCGACTCAAAGCTTAACACATTCCCTTCCTAGGTTCAGAAGAACTTCCTTCACATTAGCATTTTCACGAATTTTTGTGGGCTAAATTTCACTGAGATGTACAGTCGCTATCAGTGCGCCATATGGAGGCGTTATCGGGCGAGTAGCTTTTAATAGAAGATAGGCTCGCGCCGCGCCAAAACGTTTGTGCTATAGTCGTTTTTACTGCACACGCTGGGTCGTACCAGAGATTTGTGTTTGACGCGGTGCCAAACTCGTTTTGCACCAAATGTTGTCGCTTGCGCCGGCTTCTGGTATGCCCTAGCGTCTCCAGCGAAAACGACTGCAAAGACGCCTCTACCCGACCTCCGATAGGCACGGGTAAATCCTGTGAACCGATTTAACTTATAAGCCTTATGTATGAACTGGAAACCCCCTAGGGTTATCCGAGGGTTTACTTGAAGAGTGAAGTAGTAGCCCTTTGAAAGTGCGGGGAACTTATGGTAATCCTTGCAGATTCAATTGTAAGCTTTAACTGAATCAAAAATAGACGACTTGGCGTCATTTCGGGTAGGTTACACCAAGTTTTGCGGGATCAGAATGGCATCATTAGTGGAAACAGTCGCCCCATGCAATCTCCATTCCGGCGTTCCTTCAGAATGCGTACATAGCTTGCGCAGCGTCCACCAGCGACCATCAACATTTCGAGGGAATAGAAAAGTCTGAGCATCGATCTAGCAAACGGTAACGCCTACCACCATCCACCAGCGTTCGCCAGGAGTCGGTATTGTACGGCTGCACATTCCACTTTAATAGCTGCTAATCCAGCCCCTTCTCCCAGTCACTTCCCCATACTCTCTACTCCTGGTCGCTGGCGGACGCTGGTAGACGCTAGATCGATATTCATACTTTCCTAGTCCCTCGAGACGCTGATAGCAGCTGGTGGACGTTGGAGGACGCTAACAGACGCTGTTGGACGCTGCCTCGCTGGTGGATAACTTTATTAGCCGCTGACGCTGACGGACCCTCGAAAAGCTGATGGTCGCTGTTGAACGGTGGTGGGGGCTGCCGCAATGTATAAACGGAACCTCATCGCTCTCTTCCGCAGGGATAATCAGTAATTGTCTTAGCGACAGGTCATCTAGAGGGCACAAGGTGCTGGTTCATTCGTAACCCTATCCTTTGCAGCTTATGTTTTAATAAAAAAATCGCAAGAAAAAGTAAAGCTATGCTTCCCATTTAATGATAATGTTGCGTAACAACAAAATTCTTCAGACAGTTTTTTTTTAAAATCGTACCTTCACATGAGACGTGCTCGTTTACCAAGTGCGTTACGGTCACTTCCTTCTCGACATTCGCGTTCACATCACTGGTCACCTTTGCACCTGCAAACTGCTCCATTCCTACAGATTCATGTTTTGGGCCCAGTTCGGGACAGGAATTCCAGAACACTTCAGGAAAGTTATTCAGATCTTATGAGTTAACCATTTTTATTGTGATTATATTTATTATTGTTATTTGTGTCCAATTCTTTTGTGCCAGCAAGGTTGTCAGGTGGAACTGTTAAAAGCCACGGACCGCGATAAGGAGCGTTGGTGCTGGAAATGAAATGTGGAAGTAAAGTGGCCAAGTGACTCGTCCGTGAGGAGAAAATGCCAAAGGGAACGTCGGAAACACCTTCTATATGACCCCTTCAGCCTCAAACAGTTGCACGTGCGAAATGCCAAAAAAACCGCCTGCTGGGGCGACTCCAGTTTGCTGACTCCATATAATGAACACTGTGATCCCACAAGGGAGAATGGAGCTTCTTTTTCATTTTCTTGTCCGGTAGCACCGCTTCTGGCTGGAAAAGGTGCTTTGAAGGCGGAGTACTGGAAAAAGGGGAGTACCTCTGGAGCAATGTTACCCCATAACCCCTACACCTTACAACTTTCGGCCGTAAAACTGGCACAAGGTTGTTCACTGTGAACCACACTACCCTCCCATAAAGTCTTCTGCATTTTCATAGGTCATCGCGGACCGTTCCTTTAACGACCTAAGGCTGCGTTTATACTTTGCGGCAGCGTAGCGTAGCGCTTCCAGCGTACGCCAGCGGCAGTGCCGGGGAGAGGATGCATATCGATCTAGCGTTCCCAGCGTCACCAGCGTAACGCTAGCGTACGCCAGCGTTTCTCCAGCGTTTCACCAGCGTTTTGCTGGCGTTTGCAGCGGCAGGGGAGTAGAGACTATGTGGCCGTCAGAGACGCAGAATCGATGTGTATTGTAGAGACTGAGGGCGAGTGAGAGACGCGCAATCGATGTGTTTTGTACCCTCCAGCTCTCCCATAGTCTCTACTCCCCTGCCGCTGCAAACGCTAGCAAAACGCTGGTGAAACGCTGAGAAACGCTGGCGTAACGCTAGCGTACGCTAGCGTTACGCTGGTGACGCTGGGAACGCTAGATCGATATGCATCCTCTCCACTGCCGCTGGCGTACGCTGGAAGCGCTACGCTACGCTGCCGCAAAGTATAAACGCAGCCTAACATTTCGAAGATCGTCGTATTCAGAGGCCAAGTCCACCGCTGCAAGAGCAGGAAGAAGCCGCCCAGTCAGTTGTTAGCAGTAGAAATCTTCAGCCACGTTTAAGAACGCCGGAGGGACGAGGCGTTTGACGTTTCAGAAAGCGAATTAGAAATCTTATCCACTTTTAGGACACTACTAACAACTAACTGGGCGGCTTCTTCCCGCTGGACCGAGGACGACGATGTGGTCGAAACGTTGGGCCGTTAATAAACAGTTCCACCTAGCAACCCCGCAGGCACAAACGAATTGAACACAAGTAACAACGATGCCGAGGTTCTACGAGGAGAGAAATTGGAGACTAGATTTATTGCATAGAACAAATCTCGATATATGAAGGCAATGAGCAGTGGAAAAAGTAACGACCTGGTACGAGTGGCCCGATTTCCGCGTAGATGTTCTCGTCGTCATCATAAAACGTTTGGTGCTTAGAAAGATCAGTCTCAGTATAGTGAAGCACTTCAGTACAAGGACTGGAAAATAAATCATGACCAAAAAAGAAGATGTAAGCATAGAGAGGCACTGACAGAGGATCTTCCGCAACCTCGTCGTAGATTGGTGGGCTGACAGCGAGTGGACGTTTGACTGGCTCTGATAGAACGATAGCTCCATGGGCGTGATGAATCTGCAACAGATCTTAGTTGTTCTATAGTTGACAGAAGCGCTTTAGGACCCCATCACCAGAATTCGAAGAAGAAACGCGCTTACATCACTATCCGCTACTGTGTCGTAAATGGGTTCAGGATCATCGGCAACGGTGTCGTAGATAACCTCATGCTTCGAGTTCAACTGAAATGTCCTCCATGGCCCGAAAATCAAACGTGAGTTGAACGCTTCTTTTCATAAAATGCCCTATTTGCTTCACAACACCAATGAGTTTGACTTCACTATCCCCATCTACCACTATACCTACTCCTAATGACAGAAGACCGACAAAGAAAGTACCTTGCCAGAGAAATGAGTTCGCAGTTAGACTAGGTGAACTTTTTCCAGCCAAAAGAGCGCGGGGAATGGACTGTAGGGCAGCGGTATCCATGTGCCGTCTCGATACTCCGCTGGCGGTGCCACACAGCCAGTCATACGCCTGACCATAAACGAACGTGCTACTTGTCTGCGCTCTATCATTTCTGATGTTCTCTACTGCGTGGAACGCGGCCCAAGAACAACTCGACCCAAAGAATTTGAAGACAGTTCTCGCGATCAAGTTGACGGGTAGTAGGGGCTCAAGCATGAACCAGTAGCCTATAAGTAACTCCCCACAAAGAAGCAAAAAAACATTGGGAACACTTCGAACAGTGACCCCCCCCCCATTAGCAATGGGTGCATAGGACGAGTTTATCGAACGTCGGCAAGCCCAGTTAGCAGGATTCGAGGTGCAACCAGTTCCTGGCAAGAGCACAGGAAATCGCCCTACGACGCTCCAGGCAACGCTATGTACACACGCAATTCCGCTTGTAAGCCGTTGTCTTGCAGAATGAAAGTAATAGTGGTTGCGATCTGGGGATCGCCACCGTCCGTCCGGCCCCTTTCCCGTGCACTTTAGAGCGGAGGAGGTAGCACGCTACTAAAGGACCCTTTCACCTCTCACATGGCAAGGACAGTCCTCGGAGGTGAGTGAGCAACTTTTGTGACGCCTGTCATATGGATAATGTATGATGACAGACAAGGAGCCATGCAGTTTTAAGTTGCAGTTTTAATGCCACAACATTAAAACTTCGCAGTAACGGTTCTGATTATAAAGCTAGATTTCCCTGTAAAAAGTCGTTCAAAAGCTAACTTCCGGCATATTCACCGAAAAACTGAAGGAGTGAACACTAAAGCCTTGTACGCCTGCTTTGGCCGTTCGTAGTGGTTGCTACTGGAGTGCCGGCGGCATGGCTTCCACTGGTGGGAAAGGAAACGAGTGGGTTTTGGTAGGGGATGTCTTCAAAAACGCTGCACTTATACAAATATTTTGTAAAAAATAATTGTCACTTACACAGGTTAGACTGGAATACTGATCTATCTGTTCCTGCATAGTCTTGTAAGTGTGATGAACGTCTCGCAGGAGAGCTTCGACCTCATCATTTGACGCTTCACTCGGCAACTCCCATAAATGTGGTGTAGGGACTGACGTAACATGCGCATGCAGATGAGCTTCTTCCAGTTCGTTCGCCCGTTGAAGGGTTTCAAACTGAAATGTTAGAAATAATAACTGCACCATTACTCTTCTTATCAGAATGGTTTCCCTGTAAACGAAAGGACGAAGGACATTTGCAAAAAAGCCGCACTGGGCCAGTAGACCCGGCAGTAAGTTTCCTGTATCTGATGGAAATAGCAGGTCTCAGATAATGTTTTGTTCTTCAACGGGACAAAAAAAGATTCATGTTGAAAGAGACGGGAAAGGGGCGGGGGCCATTCTGCGCTTTTGCTACTTCTCATCGACGTGTCGACCCATCTAGACAGCCTCTTCTCGAGTTGCAGGTTTACCACGATGGCTTGACGAGCTTGCTCCAGCTTCACAAGAGTTCACAGGTTTCGCCAGAGTGAGACTTGCAAAACGGCGCTACTGAAGCAAGCAAAATGCAAACTGCCCCCCCCCCCTTCCCCGTCGCATAACTGCGCCCATGGGAGATTTCGCTCCCCACGAATGTCAATATACAGCTGGTAAAGCTTTTCATCTCAATTTCATTATTTCAAGGAAAGAGAAGGAAGTCAGGTCTTTACGTTGAGCGCTAAAAGCAATGCATGGAACCTTCTAATCAAGGCACGTTCTATGTTAGGGAATCCCCAGCAGGCGATTCGGTCGCTGGGCGGAGAGGGGTTGTAGTTGGTCTGTGAAGATTTTTTTGGTAGCTGATTTTTCCCTATTTAATGGACGAATTTTTCCGTCGCTCTGAAATGAGAGGGGATGCGCTTTTCTCTCGTCCTACTTGGGAGAGGAGGGGGGGAATCGTATCTTCCGAAACTGTTCCCCAACAGCAGGATGTGCTTCTGTGCTTCTTTCTTTTTCTTCCAATGCTTTTCCATGCACGCGTGAAACTTGCAAATAATATAAGCTGACAAATGAAAAGCTAGAAAACAGTAGATGTGGTTCTGAGTTTCCTCCTCAAGTGGAGACGTAATTTGGTAGGAATTTCTAAATTTTTTTTCCGATGGGTAATTTCACAAAGAACCACTCCATGAACTGGAACCAGGAGGGTCAAATAGTGATAGAAAAACATGCATTCAAATTTCCTATTACAAAATCTCCATTGTGCTCAATAATCTTAAGGATTTTCACGCAACGAAAGAATAAGCAGGTAATCCCTGTGGGCTATACTATCATTTGACTAGCCCAAAATTGCATGGAGTTGGAAGGGCTTTAGTGGGATGAGATGAGCATGAGCTTTTTTTTGGCAGTTTTTGTGATGAGTGTCGCCACAATCTCCTTAGAGAGGGGACGAAATCCGAAGACTGAAGAATAGCTATAAGGTTGGCATAACAGATAGGATGTTAAAGGGAATGTGAAGGAGACGAGTCGAAAAGGAGGGGAAATGAAGAACAAAAAAAGTTGGGCAAAAGACAAATGAAGCCCGAGAATTTCCTTGGAAATACGCAATCGATCAAGCACCGCAGCAGCATTGAGCTCTTTGAGCTTGAAACCTCTTTTACAACGATGTCTGATAAGTCTTCTGGCTTTGCAGCTGGGAAAATGTCAACAGGAGTGCGCAGTGAAGAGAATTTAGACTGATGGGGTTCTGCTACAATTGGCCCTCCACGATGAAACTCATCAAAGAGGACATAATTATCGCAAGTATGAGTTAGGGGCGAAAGTTTCGCTCGGAAAGCATCCTCTTGAGGATATGCCGCGGTGTTGCAGCTAGATTCGTATAATATTTGGAAGGACATTCTCTTCTAATGAGATATGCAGGCGGATAACATGAATCAAAAATGGTTCAGGTGTTAAGTGGCTAATTAGTGGAGTAAAAAAAACCAAAAAATCTTTGGGAGATTCCCTAAATAATGCTCCTCTTTGTGTAGTTGACTGAAATGCCACAAAATTGCTCAGAAAAAGGGCGAGAAAGTATGCAGAGAAGTAAAAAAGGCCGCTGTTTGTGCGGCACAGACGCACATGGGCAACTGCTTCCATGAGGGAATGTGGACCGCCCCTGCGATAAGTTTCACCTTTTTGTGCCTTTGCCAAAGTTAGAAGTAGCGGAAATGATTAATTTACCGTTGTGAGCGAGGTTACCACCTAAACGTAACATCTCGATTCAGCCATTGGTGCGTAAGGCTGCGTTCATACTTTGCGGCAGCGTCCACCAACGATCACCAATGTCCACTGGCGGCCATCAGGATTTCGATTGTCCTGGGGACTAGCCAAGTATGGATATCTAATGTCTACTAGGGTCCAGGAGTAGAGAGTATGAGGAGGTATGAGGGTAGCAGACTGCTGGTAGAGTATTCGAAAAAAGGAGAGAGTAGACGGCTGGTTTAGGCGCCGTGAAAGTGCGGCGTGTGCAACCGCACCGTAATACTACACAGTGCCATAGACTAAATTACACAATTTTGTACTTTAGCGATTTTACGGTGCGTTTGCACACGCCACAATTCAACGAGGCCTAATCCACCTGTCTGCTCCCTCCTACTTTCCCATAATTTACTAGCAGTCTGCTACCCTTCTGCTTCTTTATGCTCTCTACTCCTGGTCGCTGGTGGACGCTGTTAGACGCTGGTAGAGCCAAATCGATATCCATACCTCCTAGTTTTTCGAGACCCTGATGGTTGCTGGCAGACGCTGGTAGACGCTGATGGTCGCTGATGGACGCTGCCGCAAAGCATAAACGCAGCCTGAGGGAACATGGACTGCTCTGACGACAAGTCTAACTCTTTGGTGCCTTTGCCAAGCATTTTGAAGTAGCGGAAATGAAAAAAAAACTTGCAGACGAGGTCACTATCCATGTGAAGTTACATGAATTGCTCAAAGATGGGAAATTTGTCTAGATTTCTCCCTGCAATAAGCAGCGTTCAGACTTCCCAATGACCGCTGGTCGAGCGCTACGCTACGCCGCTGAAGTTTGTGAATTACCTGACACAATGCAGGAAGCACAAAAATGGAGGTGAGTTTCAAAGGATTATTTTATTAGGCTTTGGTCCAGAAACTTGAGTGTCTATCTTCGTAGGTCCTAAAGGGAGTTAGAACCCTTGCTTATAGTCATAATAGGAACATTCTCCATAGAATAATCTCACCTCAATTGGAACTATTGTCGCGTCGGATTCGGAACGTGAGTCAATCGAATCCTGCTGGCGAAGTGTTTCAGTATCGGAAACATCACTGCTTTCTTTCCCATCGTCGATGAAGATCGTCTTGGTAATTGTCATTGTGTCTTTACCACCACCATACTGTCTGTCCGAGGTGGTACTGTCAGCCAAGGATTCCCTGCTTCGACGAACAGTCTGTGTGCCAAGATTTTCGCTAATGAAACGGTTGGTTTCCTAAAGAGTGAGGATCGAGAATTGGCAACAAGAAAAGGGCGTAATTCGGCGACAGGAGGGGGGTATTTCACACTTTCGCTGCTTCACTAGTTTCGGTTTACAAGTGTCACTCTGGTGAAACCTTTGAGCACTTGTGGAGGAAGCTCGTCAGTCATCATAGTAAAACCTCGGGAACAGGCTGTCCAGATGGGTCGACAAATAGATGGGAAGCAGCAAAAAAGCAAAACGCCCCCCGTCGCCGAACAGCGCCCAAGAAAAGTTTAGAATCAAAGGAATCTATGCTAAGCACTGGGTGTGGTTCAAGAAAACTTACGCTCTGGTATGGATCGTATCTAAAGTCTGGTTCTTCCGAATAGGAGCTGACTGGTGTACGAAGACCAGCGCTGTTGGCGAGTTCATGGTCTTCTGATAGCTGATCCACTACTGACTGTCTAGATGATGTCATACTTCTGATGCTTCCCTCTGACTGAAGCCTCGGAGCGATCATCTGGACGTCTGCATCACATACTAAGGAAGTCGATCCCTTAGGCGACGGATCCTCGAAGTCTCTGACCAAATGGTGATGGCATTCGAATGGAGCTGAGGCTTGGAATTTAGGTATCCCGGAGCTGTCCCATGAGTCAGTACGGGGCCGATGATACAGTTGGGGGTCGGAACCCACCGATTGGGTTAGAGTATTGTGAAGCCTGTCGTGTACGATATGCATGGAACTGGACACAGTTTGGGAGAGACCATTGAGATGCACAGCTTCTCTATTCCTAGAGTGATCCTCAGATTGAATAAATGTTCTTGTATCGCTAGACATATACTGGGCGTGGTTTGCTTCTTCACCATATGGATCATATCCTACATGTGCATCCTTTCCAGGAAGGACTGCTTCTTTACGCGGGTACAATTCCTCGTGGGAAACACTAGCTGCAACGGTTGCCGAGCTACTATGTTCCCTTTGACAATCAGATATATCGTAAGCTGAGCGGGTCAGGGACGACTTGGAGAAACGCCTAGAGTAATCTGTGGTGTAATCGTGCGGGAAAGGAGGTAATCGTCCATCGTCACCACCATCGAACAAGTCGGAATTCATCTTCCTTCCGAAGAATCGGTCAACGTCTGCGGCTGCATTCAATGATAAGTCGCGAATGCCTTCGAATCCATAGAGGTGTTCTCCCATGCGGACTATTGCTCCTTTTTGAGCTATGCCGCTGGACATCTGAAACGAGGCACTGTGGTATGTATCTCTCAGGTAATCTTTCATTGTAGCTGGTAAACATCGTAATCAGGGGGAGCACGGTTTCAGGAGGGATTGAAGCAGCTGACATGCGGCGTTCTCACCATTGGTGTTTTCTCCCCAAATCCATAACTGACCAATGGTAGAGCAGAGCAGCTGGCTCCCCGGCCGATTGCGATGTTATCAACTATACACTGTTTGAACTTGCCTGCATGCGAACATCCTTCACATGTTCCCATTTCCGTTTAGCTGGTGGGAGCTTTTGTGAAATGTGTTCGCATTCTTCTCTATCGTTCTCAATCAAGTCCACCATGCTGCTTTCGTCTACTGTTTCGGTGTACTCGATTTTCGTGCAGGTTCCACTGAAAAATGTTATCCTATTATCTCCCATTTTAAGTACAGCTATTTACGTTAATGTACTTACACTTCTCATCGCGGTGGAGGGAAGGGCGTGGCTGCGCGCTTCATTTTGACTTTGCGGTAACTGCGTTTTTAGGCTTCGTTCATACTTTGCGGCAGCATCCTTCAGCGACCAATAGCTCCAGCGTTCCGAGCGTCTGGCAGCAAGCGAAGGAAATCGTAGATATCGATTTAGCGTCTGCGAGGGCCTGCCAACGTCCACCAGCGACAAGCAGCGTTTCGGGGGCAAACGAAGTATAGGTATCGATCTAGCGTCTGTCAGCGTTTGCCAGCGTCTCCCAGCGACCAGCAGCGTCCGGAAGTGGAAAGTATGGGGCGACAGAGGGGTAGCAGACAGCTGGTAAAGTATGGTAGGAGTGTAGCAGACGGCTGGTAGGAGAGAATGGCGAATAGGAGAGTAGGAGAGAGCTGGTAGAGTGGGAGGAGGTAGGATGGTAGCATACAGGTGCTAGCCTCCTATCGCACCCTTCTCTCTGCCAGCAGTCTGCTGCTGGTGGCTGGTGGACGATGAGAGACTGGCAGACGATATCGATACATATACTTCCCTAGCCCTCGAAACGCTGGTGGACGCCGGTAAAGGATAGTGGACGCTGGCACACGCTGAATCGATATCCACTTTTTTCCTAGTCGCTGACGCTGCCGGACGCTCGGAACGTAGGTGGCCGCTATTGGTCGCTGGTGGACGCTGCCGCAAACTACATATAAACGCATCCTTACAGAAATCTTTTTGTTCTGGGACAGTTTATTTGTTTTATTTATTTATTGCATGCACCATAGGTACACGAGTTGCAATAGAGTCCTTGTCCAGCATAATATAGGATGACATTTGTCGCAGATGGAAAATCATACGAGTGGTGCATCGTACGCTTTGCGCAAATGAAGCACGTAGCCACGCCTACTCCATTTCTGGGATATGGAGTAGTATCTGCGCGAAGAGATACCAGGTTGCGCGTATAAGAAACCGCTAGGAAAACTGGAAGAAGAAATGCGGTTCTATTTACTTTGAAGGCCCAACTTACTCTGTATCGTCCATCACGGACACTTTTGGCTCACTGCGCTCGCGTTTTTCCGTCGATGGCGGTGACGACTTCTGAAAAGCCTTTCGACAAAAAAATCCTTGATTTTCAATACGGATTTCTCCATGAAAGCAAAAACAGACAACTAACCGAGCGGTGGTAGCGTTCCTCCACAAAAATTCTTGTGAGTGACTTGCTCCTCGGTACATAGGAAGGATGATACTAGAAAAATTCTTTGTGTGGTATTTTACTGAATTGCAATCGGTCTGGCGAGAAACTTTGAGCTCGGAAGTGAAGTGAAAACTAAGAGAGTTTCAAATGATCATATACCTCCTTCGGGACAAGAGAACATGTGGTTGGCGCCATTGCGAAACAGACCCTGACAGCTAACAAGTGCTTCAGACAGATATGTTTGTCTATTTGGCCTATCAGGCTGAAGGCTAGCTGGGCCTTAACCCGATGGTGTAGTGTTGTTCTACGTATGAACATTGAACTTTGGATATATGAATATTTATTATGTAAGTCATACGATACAAAGGGGAAAGGGGGGAGAGGATGATTTTAGGGGAGCCGGGCCCAGACTTGAGACGACCAACTCCTAGCTTAAGTCGAGAGATGACTCCACTCCGTTCGCTGCCGGCCAGCAGCAAATTAAATACTCTCCGCCGTTGGCTGCGAAACGCTAGACGACAGGCAGCGTACGATTGGTATCCACCTGCCTTCGCGACGAGGATAAGACACACCCATTGCTTGGGCGATTTAGGAAAAATTGCAATTTCTCCCGAATATCATTCACAGGGCTCATTAAGGAGCAAAAAGGGTCTCGATGGTCGAACCAGTATATAAAACTACTTTGCAAGTGCGTAGCACACGTTTCAAGAAAAAGTAAAACCATGAAGTACACTGATGATCCGAGGTTACTTCCGAGTGCCGTGGGCCCATTCACCTACCAATTGCGCCACTGAGTCACAGAAGCCGTTGTGTCACGGGGGTTTACAAGCGCAAAGTATGGACAGGGCGAGGGCCATCGTAATTGTTAAGCACATGAGCAGAAACGGCTCGTGACTTCTCTTCCAAGGTCGCTCAGCGGATCTCGTGCGAAGACGCTTCTACTAGTATACATCTCCTCCTGAATGGCCATGCGGATTTGGTATCATTCCTTCGTACGTTATTGTTGCACGTCTCATAACGAGACTGCCCAGTCTTGCTAAAAATTTGCTTGTCTTATTTACTCTCCGTTCCCTCTTCAAAACTGACCCATGCAATATGTGTGGTTGAAGAAACGATCCGATGGCCTATGAATTTGCGAAAAATTTAGAAGAGTAGTGTGGTTTACAATGGACAGCCTAGTGCCAGTTTCGCTGCAGAAAGTTGTAAGGTAAAAGAGTTGAAGAAGCAAAGCTGCTGAAGTAACACATCCCTTTTCCAGTGACTCCGCCTCCAGACTCGGCTTTCCAGTAAAAGGCGGTGCCCGATTCGTCATCTTATTTAAAACAACGCGGTGCTTCAATTCTTAGTTAGAGTCAGGGAAACGGCTGGGCAGTGAACTAGTATGGATTCTTGTGTGGCCAGCCGATCAATTCTAGACCATATCTAGACTTTCAATTCCTCCGGGGTCAGCGGAATAGCGAGAGTTGTGAAAGTAAAGCTCTGGACTGAGCGACAGGCTTCTCGCTGATAACTTCAGTAGCAAGTGGCACGATTAATCCCCTAGACTTGTAGGTGTAGGACTGATACACCCTGCGGGGCAGTGGCGCCTTGTTAGAAGTAAGTATTCTTATAACGCTCTATCAATCTGCAACATTCCGACGCAGACAGTTCAGTTTTCTTTGAGAACGCGTCCCCAACTGGCACTTTTCGAAGGGCCGGCACCTTTGCTTTTCGGCACCTCTGCCGGAAAGCAAGGCATTTTTGCTATTTTTGCTCGAAGGGCGTCATTATGCCCTTTTGAGCAAAAAACTCGTCCCTAAGGGGACTCCATGCCGGTTTTTTTCGCGATTTTTTTCTCGTTTTTTCGCGATTTTTTCTCGTTTTTCGCGTCTGTCTGTACGTGACGCCCACCGCAATCGCCAGCCCACAAATGTCCGACTGGTGCTGTTGCTCGTATTGGTTCGTATGTGAAGTAAAAAGTGAAGCGAAGAGATTTATGTGAAGCGGCTGTGGTGCTGCATGAATAGTGAGCAAATGCATGCATCTACTGGAGCGGTTATTGCACGATGCCAGCAGGGAACTCGTCCGAAATCGCCTTCTGAGTCGTGCCGGAACAAAGGCCTTTTTGTAAGTTTTTGACCGTTTCACTTCGCTTTTACACCATTTTCCCCACTAAGCACCCCTGCTACTATTTTAGACCGACTATCAAATCATCGTGTCTTATGCCTTTGAAGGCAGTTGACGCTATAATTTCATGTACACTTTGAAACATAGCAAAGGTGCCCAGTAATGCAAAGAATAGTAGAAAAAAACGGGGCGAAATGGTGGGAAAAGCACGAAATGGGACCTTTATTTCTTCGCTGCACTGCGGCAGTGGACGAGCGAACGGCTGGGGCGGGCGCTGCTTTGGACGAGTCTACCGATTGAACCGTTTACTGCTGGCAAAAAGCCAGCAGTACGTTCTACGTCGCTCTACGTTACACTACATTACACGTAGGCACGGGCGGTCCACAACGGCACGTCCTCGTGCTGTGATGCTATACGTCCAATGGTAGGCGGGCGGGCGAGGTGGGCGTCCGGGTCGGTATGTTGCTGCTCAATAGGGCGCTATAAGGGTACCCTCCTTGGAAAAGGCGCTACGCAGCGCCTGTTCAGGGTCACGGAATTCTGTCATGCCAGTCGTATTAATCCCACTCGTCTCTAGGGATTTATCGTGCCAAGGAATGATTATTGATCGCCCTGGCCTATTTTCTCACTA